GGCTGCCAGTAGGGAGAAACCTTCACATATTTTGGTGATCAGAATCAGAGTGCATTGAACACCAAATATGGAGGAGAAGAAAAAGCAGTTTCATGTCCAGTTAATCAATATATGTACTGAGGTAACAGAGAATATAAACTTAGAGGATTCCAAATGCATAACATGTCAATACAAACCATCTTTAAGTTTCAGTGATTTGAGCCTATTTTTCCTCAGTCTGACAATGGCTCATTATGTAAGTAACTCACTGTGACATGCTAATTCCTTTCATAATAGTTCTGGGTAGACCTTGAATTTAAAAGAATTTAACAATTTAGGCTATAAAACAAGAAATTGTGTTGTCTTTACTTATGCTGTTAGATACAGTTAGTCTTAGATCCCATTTTTGGTGTGTTATAGATAGAAAAGTCTGTGAAACTCTTATCTTTAATTAACCACAGATGCAAAGAATGCAGAAGTGGAGTTATGGATCATAGAGCACTAGCCTTAGCACAAAAGGTTAGGGACATCACTCCAGCAAAGAGTTCAAGACCCAGAAACAACAGCAAAGAGAGAGGAGAGGAGGAAGGAAGGGAGGGAAAGAGAAATACACAGAGACACAGAGAGAAATAGGAAACCAGTATTATAAGAAGAAGCTATTAAAATACAACAAAATAATATTCTACTACTTTCACAACCAGATAGTATTTCTAAAATCAATAGCAAAACAAAAGAACATGTATATAATTCAAGAAACAAAAAATGTATGAACAATGAAAAAGAAAATGCATGATATCTTTAACCATGATCAGAAAGGGAATTAGTAGGAGGAAAGTAGTCACATACAGTTGTCTGTGGGTAAATCACTTATCAGATTATACCAAAAAGCAAAATTAGGGAGAGAGTTACAAAGATACAAATGCATTCATTGGTAGACTGGATGTGTATAAAATCAAGATTAAGAAATTCGATGAAGTTTCAAAGATTTGGCACGGTACTATTAACTGATGAATGAGGGCTGAAGCTTGCTATGAAATTGTTAAGTATTTTGGAAATGAAAGCCTACAAATGGATGTAGCAACCTAAGGCTTCCCCAGGGCATGCAATTTCTTACCGCCTTACTTCTCATCTTCAAATGTGTTTGTTGGGTGGTCTCTAAGAACAGGCATATGGAAATCTGAGACTTCAGAAAATAAAATATAGGAAGGAAGGAAGGAAGGAAGGAAAGAAAGAAAGAAGGAAGGAAGGAAGGAAGGTAGGAAGGAAGGAAGGAAGGGAAGGAAGAAAGGAAGGAAGGAAGAAAGGGGTCTGGGAAGGTGGCTCAGTGGTAGAGTGCTTGCCTTGCATGCATGAGCCCCTGGGTTAGATTTTTATTTAGCACCACATAAGCAGAAAAAGCCAGAAGTGGCACTGTGGCTCAAGTGGTAGCGCGCTAGCCTTGAGCTGAAGAGCTGAGGGACAGCATTCAGGCCCAGAGTTCAGGCCCCACGACTGCCCCTCCCCCAAAGGAAAGAAAGTAGGAAGGAAGGAAAATTTGCTTTCTATTTCAGCCACTTTTAAGGAGCCTCAAAGGGCATTTTATGGTGAGGCACTATGTTAAAAAAAATCTCTGTCAAAGGTAGATGATGGAATAATTTACTATGACCAAATTAAAGGATGCTGTAATATCACATAAATGCACATAGAGGAAAATCAATTTCATTGCACCCTTTACATGGAATTTAGAATTAGCAGATACCCCAACCTGCTGTCATACAGCTGATATATTATTGGACTATGGTATTTAAAGTTGTTAATTCAGAAAATTACCATTTGAGAGTGAATTATTACCTTATAATCAAATGAAGATTTTATACATGGACAAAAAAAATTCTTGGTAAAACCAATACATCCAGTCGTTTGCATTAGTATTTTTTTCCTTATTGTGATTAAAAATGAAGATGGGAAGGGGAAACAAAGGAGGAGGCAACAATGCTTGATAAGAAATGTACTCATTACCTTGTCCATGTAATTATTTTTTAATTTAATTTAATTTTATTTGTGAACATACTGTACAGAGGGGTTACAATTACATGGGCAGGATAATGTATACATTTCTTACCAAGCATTGCAGCCTTTACCCTTCACATCCCTTCCCAGCCTCCCCCCCGCCCCCCAACCCCAATCCTTCCCCCCCCCCCACCGATGTTGTAAAGCTTGTTTTGGACATGACAACTTGTACTTCTCATTGTTGCAACAGGTCCACCTGTATTGTCCATGTAATTGTAAATTAAAAACTTAAAATATGAAGAAACCCTGTCATATACCTTTGCTTCTCAGAATCAATTAACTAAGGATGGAAGACAGAACACAAATAAATCAAAATGAGAATTCCCAGTTATGAAATACTTAAACATATTTTTTTTCATTTTGGAATTGGGAAAGAACAAATGAAAAGAACACATTCAACCATAAGTTAGTGTAGATTCTTGACACACAGCACTATTTGCATTTTTTTCCTTATGCAGTCAGGCAGTTTGTGCATATTTAATGTCTGACTTCCATTTCCCTGCCTGTGAACAAACAGGCAGTAGCAGTTACACATGGGAACAGGATGTCTTATGCATAGAAAACATGTACCAAAAGAGGAAAGTTTTGATGAAAACTTAGAAAACAAATATCTCATTGGAATACAATTTGTGAATTTTTTAGCAGTTTTATGAAAAACTGAAAACTATTTGCAAAGAATAAATGAGCAATTTCACACAACTCTAGTTTGCTTCTTCTTGTTTCCTGTTTTGCTCTGTTATGCATGGGAGAGAATCTTATGCAGAAATGTCTTATATTACTGACCCAGCTCTTTCTGAAAGTGGTTTTGTCATCTTTCAAGTCCTTAAAGAATAAGATGAAAGGAGAAATAGGTAAGAGTTTGCGTTGAGGAAAATGAAAGTTGAAAGGCACAAAATACAGCGAACATAGGGGCTGAGTATTCTGATAGCTGTTCATTATCTAATGAACATTCCAAAATATTACCTCAATATAAAGAAATAGTCTGCTTGAGTGGAAAAGCAGAGTGATTAGAAAACAATTTTAGAGGAAATAGAAAAGATTTAGAATTCCTAAAACATACAAAGGAGTTTCAGTTCACAGCCTGTAGAATTCAAACGTGAATTGGTAAAGTTAGTATTTGATATAATGTTAACCTAATATTGAAAAATGGAAATACAAAGTGGTTGAACAAGTTTACACTCCCACGAACAATGTAGTAAGGTTCCCTTCTGTCCACATCCCCTCCAGCATCTGTTGTTATTAGAGTTCTTGATTCTAGCCATTCTAACTGGGGTGAGGTGGTATCTCAATGTTGTTTTGATTTGCATTTCTTTTATGGCTAGAGAGGTTGAGCATTTCTTCATGTTTCTATTGGCCATCCTTCTTTCCTCTTCAGAGAAGTTTCTCTGTAAGTCTTTAGTCCACTTATTTATTGGGCAGTTGTTTTTTGAGGATTTGTTGTTGGGGGATTTAATTTTTTGAGTTCCAGGTATATTTTAGATATGAGACCCTTGTCCATTGTATGGCTAGTGAAGACCTTCTCCCAATCCATGGGTATGGAGATTCCTCAAAAGGCTCCACATAGAGCTCCCCTATGATCCAGCATTCCCACTTTTGGGCATTTACCAAAATGATCACAAACAAGACCATACTAAAGCTACCAGCATAACTATGTTTATTGCATCATTATTTACCCTAGCTAAGATATGGAACCAACTCAGATGCCCCACAGTAGATGAATGGATCAAGAAAATGTGGTATATATACACAATGGAATTCTATGCCTCCATCAGAAAGAATGACATTGCTCCATTTGTTAGGAAATGGAAAGATTTGGAAAAAAATTATATGAAGTGAAGTAAGCCAGGCCCAAAGAAACATAGGTCCCATGGTTTCCCTTATTTGCAATAACTAGCATATGTCTGAGTCAAGCAGAAAAGGTCTGATAAGTTGATGTTAGGATAATGAACCCCAAGAAAAATATTCAAATGTTTTTTTTTCTTTCATGTAATTGTTTCTAGCATATTTATCAGATGATTTCTATGTTGCTCTGTATGTCCCTCCCCCATGGTATAGCCCCTGTTTTCACTGTGTTTGTATAATTTGTGGAGGGGAAGGGCAAAAACAAATCGTTTAACTAGGGATACACGTGGACCCATTACAACAATGAGACGTACAAGTCCTTATGTCGAAAAACGAACTTTACACCTTTGGTGGGTACGTGAGGATAGGGTGGGGGGAGGTCGAGGGAGTATGGGAAGGGATGGGAAGGGCAACCAAAGAGGAGGCAACAATGCTTGATAAGAAATATAGTCGTTATCTTGCCCATGTAATTGTAACTCCTCTGTACGGCATTCTTAATATATATATAAAACAGCAATATCAATAAATTATCAATAACAAATATAGTATATATGAGATTCTTTTGCAGTGAACATTGTCCTTAGAGTATATCTCATGGGAAATTATTTCAGCATAGTAGATTCAAAATTTGTTTATTATTTTCTGTTTGTTTGTTTTTTGGGGGTCCAGTCGCGGGGCTTGAACTCTGGGCCTGGGCGCTGTCCCTCAGCTCTTCAACTCAAGGCTAGCACTCTACCACTTGAGCCACAGTGCCACTTCCGGCTTTTTCTTTTTGCTTATGTGGTGCTGAGGAATCGAACCCAGGGCCTCTGGCATGCAAGGCATGCGCTCTACCACTGAGCCACCTTCCTAGCCCCTGTTTATTATTTTTTTAAATAATTAATTCTTAGGGGAAACAAAGGAGAAGGCAACAATGCTTGATAGGAAATGTACTCGTTACCTTACCCATGTAATTGTAACCCCTCTGTGTGATATTTTCACAATAAAAATTTTAAAAAGAGAAAAATGGAAATATATTATATTCTAATAAAATTGCAGCTTATGTTCCAAATTCTAAGCACAATAAGCCTGACAGAATTTTTCTTCCTCAAAGAACTGTTTTTAAAGTCAACCTTACTTTTTCCCCCTAGGAAGTAAAAACAGTCATTTCCAGAAACCTTAGAAGTTAACTTTGTTTCTTCCCTCAATTTTGAAGATGCTATTCTTTTTAAAAGAGGAATTACTGTAGGTGAGTCACATATTAAGTTATGACAAAGAAAATGACAAATGAAGAATTTTTTTTACCTTTGTATCTCTTATCTTGTTTCTAAATAATTATTTAGGGTATGATAGGGTATTAGTACTGAGTCTGTATTAAAATGGACACATGTCAAGAGTGTCCTAAAATAGTTGGACAATCAGATTGTGTTTTTATAAATGAAAAATCTCTACTTTATAAATGAAAATCTCTTCTTTAGGAAAGGGAATATGAAACAGTTGGATATGATTTAATTGAAGGTTGTTTATAACCTCTTTATCAACTCAAATTCAGGGAAAGAACATAATAAAATTTAAAATTTTCATTGCCATAGGGTAACAGACTAATATGGTAATATACACATAACCACACTACTCACAAAACTTTCTTTTTTGGGATTTGATGCATTGTATTTTATTTTTTATTTTATTTTATTGCAAGGATGCTGTACAGAGGGATTACAGTTACATGAATAAGGCAAGGAGGACATTTCTTGTTGAGCATTGTTTTCCCCTCCTTTGTTTTTCTCCCACTATCCCTTCCCTCCCCCACACCCCTCATTCCCCTCCCACCCTTACCCAAAGTTGTAAAGTTAATTTCCAATATACTTTCTGTGGGTATCATTGTTGCAATGGGTCATCCCGTGTGCTTGTTTCAACATTTTGTTATTTCCCCTTCCCCTCCTCAAATTATACAAATGTATATACAAGTTGCAGAGTACCAAAATCAAGTACAGTGATAACAGGGGATATAAAACTTTCTTAAGTGTCTGGTAGGTCCTATGGAAAATAAGGCTTACTAGAATAAATAATACCTGTGTGGGCATATTAATTTTTTACAATGATGTTAATACCATTTTCACATTTAATGTCACATGAGTAAGAACTGCAACTCACTATTTGTTCTCTACTGTAGGATCTTTCAAAGGTTGTAAATTGGTGATTGCCATGATAGTGCTTTAATATCTGATTATCTCATTCCCAATTTAATCCCAGAGCAGTGATAGACACTGATTTTTCTCAGGACATACAGCGGACAATGGCAGGTAAGGACACTAAATCCAAGCTGAGTGAAACAGCTATTTTAAAATGTTCTTTAGCTGGGTGCCAGTTAATTCATGGTTGAAATTTAGCTGAGATCTGAGGATTGAGGTTCAAAGATAGCTTGTGTACCAAAGTCCATGAGATACTTAACCACCAAAGAGCTGGAAGTGGAGCACTGGCTCAAATGATAGAGTGTTAATCTTCAGCAAAAAGCTCAGAGACAGAGCTCAGGACCTGAGTTCTAGACACATAATTGGCACACACACACACACACACACACACACACACACAAGCACTCTCCTCCCCCTCCCTTGCTTTGCTGCTTCTGATACATTTATTGACATTGCAATTTATTGAGGTTCTATTAATGGAAAGAGGGATATGAGTACTTTTACCCAGGCTTTTGTTTCTTTTTATTATTATCTAACTATTTCTACAAAGGAGTTGCCTTTTAACAAAGTGTATGAATACAATATATCTTGATCAATGTCTTGACTAAGTTTTTGACATGATTTTAATCATATTTTCTAAGACAAATCATGTCATATCTGTAAACTAGGGTGTAATGATAAGAATACTGGACTGGAAATTCATCTGTGTTTTTTTTTTTTTTTTTTGCCAGTCCTGGTGCTTGAACTCAGGGCCAGGGCACTGTCCTTGAATTTCTTTTGCTCAAAGCTAGCATTGTACTTACTTGAGCTACAGCACCCCTTACAACTTTTCTGTTTATGTGCTACTGAGGAATTGAACCTAGGGCTTTATGCATGTAAGACAAGCACTCTACCACTGAGCCATATGCTCAGCCCCTCATCTGTGTTTTTATTACATTATATCCTTTGGATGGTTTTAATTGATTAGGAAACTTTGGTGGTAAGAATATAACATCTAGGTATGGGTACAAAAATGTACTGAATGCAATGGATAGATTACAGGGCTCTTTGTAAAACCTTAATAATGTAATGACCCTTGCAACCCTATATCAAACTCTTAGATTTTATACACACACAAAAAGTGTCTCTATCTCCCTAGATTACAAAATTTATAAGACACATGATAAAAGGGCCCCTATTTTAAAGCTGTGCTAGCTGTCAAGAACCTCTTTAGATCACTATTTTATTCTTTAGCAAAAATCAATAGAAGTCACTTATTGTGCTTTTTTGTGGACAGAAATAGGATGGAGATCATCGATGGGTATAATTAAAAAATCCCAAACTGTGCGTATAAATTGAGAATCACTGAGACAATGGAGGTAACTGCTTGCAAAATTTACATAGATTCATTTGAGGAGAGTGGAAGCATTAGTTACTTTACCAAATGGTTGTTTCTCGACTGGTATTTCAATAGCACTCTTTCATGCATGGAAATTTCCACAAGATTTTAAAATGCTTCAGTATCTGAGCAACTTGTATATAAAGCATTTTTTTTAATGTGTGGATGCTTCTGAAAATTGAGGTTGTAATAAAATATGCTGAGCAATAGTAGTTGATGTTTCTGAGAGGCCAGAAAAGACACAATCCTTTAAGATGCCATAACTAGTAATCATTAAGAGGAAGAATTAATCATTATAGAATATATGGTATTTAACATTCAAAAAATAATATTTTTATTTTCTTCACCTAAAATAGATTCTATATGCTTATGAAGTATATGGTTCAAAGAACATGTAACTTATTAATTGAAATTAGTATGACACATGACTATAGTAGGCAATGAAACACATTAATCTGATACATAGTATAGCATACAATATATAGTACATATAAAATATATATAATACATTTATATAATATGATGCAATATTATATGATTAATTTTTATAAACACCGGCTATTTGTCAGACATAATGCTAACACTATAAATTTTAAGCTTATAGATCTTCATGTGAAATCAGTGTTATTCCAATTCTACAAACTCCGCAAAAATCCCGACATCTTATTTTCCATGTTTATTAAAAGTCTGCTTTACCTACATTTTACTTCATTTAGTTTGGACACAGTTTCCCTTTGACTTTGAACATATTCATTTATTCTCCCTCAATTTTTAAATGTGTATTTGTGAACTATTTCTATTTTATATGGTCACAGAAGAAACATTACACTTTATTAAGTATGTTATCTTGTTCATAATATATACCTTCTAATAAATTCTAAGACAGACATCAAATGAAATTGACACAGGAAAAATATCAGTTATTTAGTTTACTATCTATTGGAGAATATTTAGACACAAGAATGGTAGGCTACTAATTGAAGGAGAGAACATTGAATTAAAGACTTTTAAGCCCTTAATATACCAGAGAGATAGCATGATACCATAAAATAGACAGAGCATAAACAGCTATTTCCAGCAGACTTCATACAAAGTAAAAATGAAACACAAGGAGACCCATCAGGGAGCCACACTGTAGAAGCAATTGCTGTTAGTAGAGACAGTTGAGCTCTGGGATAGAGTGCTGTGCTGCTTCATAGCTCAGTGGGAGCTCATGGAGGAACAGCCACCCCCTATAGACAGGAATGCAAAAACAATGGACTGGACATTTGCTGACAATGGGACTCTAACATACTATTCTCTGAATAGTATGATTACTTCCAAAGATGACAGAAAGTTTTCTAGGCACCTTTTGCTGTGTCCTCTAAGTGGCTGTCCCTCAGCTTATTTCATTAAACAAGGAAATTGACAATATTGTAAAGGAGGGAAATGACTTTCAAGGTTTCATAGAAGAGAAGTCCTGGAATGTTTTCATCATTATGTTTATTAGAATCAGAAAAAGCAAATAAATTTAATTGCCTTCTTCAAATAACTATATACTCAGGAGTTATATAAATAATTCTTTGATTTCCAAATACCAAGTTAAATACAATCAGAATACTGGTAGATAATTAGCATGCCTGCCTAGCTACCTGTCTGCCTGACTTCTTTCCCTCCTTCCTTCTCTCCTCCCTTCCTTCCTTCTTTCCTATCTTTTTCTTTTTTGTTTCTGACAACATTGGGTTTGAACTCAAGGCTTTCTACTTGCTAGGCATGTACTACAATGTCCTACCCAAGCCTATAGTATAATACAATATTTTTTCCCCTGTAGTTCTGGCTTTTGAACTCAGGACCTTGGGCTTTTCAAGCAGTCACTTTACCAACAAGTCTAGACTCCAACCTATTTTGTCTGAATATAGTTTGCTGTAAGTAATAGAAGTGAATGGAAAGTAGATAAGTTATCTGTTTTTTCTCACTAATATTATTTATACCCTAACAAGTACTGACACTAAGCATTCACTTTATTATCTGTTGCTTTTCTCAGAAAACCTCATGAGCGAGGACTTAGGAAAGTAAACCTTCAAAAGCCCTGGGACAAAGGAAATGGTCTCAATGCTAAATATTATTTTTTCTCTGTAGTAAAATTGGTTTTAAAAAATGAAGAAATCAGTCTCCCCACTAAAGCAAAGTATATTGTTTGAAACTACACACATCTGTAATATGCTGATTAAAGGTACCCAAAGAAAACCAGTCCCACTTCTTGGATCCTGTGAATCTTACATTATATATAGTAAAAAGCAAAACTAAACAAATAAAGTTTTTTGCCAATGTGATTAACAATACTGAAACTGGGAAATAATCCTGGAGCATTACATGGGCACCCCAAAGACAGCCACACTTGTCCTTGTAAAAGAGAGGCAGAGATGAATTCCATCATGGCAAAGGACCCATTACAGTAAGGATCCAACTTGAGCCGAGAGAGAGAGAGAGAGAGAGAGAGAGGAGAGAGAGAGAGAGAGAGAGAGAGAGAGAGAGAGAGAGAGATTTGAAATGTTACTTTCTGCACTTTGAAGATGGAGAAAAAGAGACATGAATCAAATGCTATAGATCTAGAAGCTGAAAAGGCCAAGAAATAAATTCTGACACTGTAATTTCAGTCCCAGTGAAACTGCTTTTACATTTCTGGAACTGTAAGGGCAT